CACATTCAGCCCTGACACGAGAAACTGAACTTTGGTTGAAGTCCTGGGTCCAATTTGGGGTCAGACTACAGGACATTTGACCACAGATTCTACCGGAAGTCCCCAAAGACACAAACCAAGAGGAGAATGAGTGAGTTTGAACTCCACATTTGACACCTAGGCCTGTGCAAAACCAAATCTCACACTGTCAAAGACACAACAAAGGAGCAGCACAATTCACCTATATTGCTCTTTTATTCTTTTTTGGGGGGTGGAGGTGGTTCAGAGGCACAACTGGCGGTTCAGGGCTTACTCCTGGCTCTGCCAGGGGCCCTGGGCAGGCAACCTGGGATGACTGTGCACAAGGCAACTGCCCTATCCGCGGTCCTATCGTTCCAGCCCCCTCACAGTAATATTAATGGACAGAAACAGAAGCCGAAGGAGGAACCCAATCATACGAGAGCTCTCCAATCTCCCTGATGAAGAATTCAAAACAATGGTGAGAGTATTTACAGAACTGAAAAAAGTTATCGAAGAAAGTCCCAATCAGGGAACAGGAAACATGACCAAAACAGCGTGCCTGAGAATAAGGCGAACAAAACCGTAAAACAAAAAAAAAGACAAGAAGGAAATAAGACTTAAGAAAAATGAAGAAAACGTAAGAGCTCTCTGACACAGCAATCAAGAGGAGTAATATTCCTAAGGTTCCTAAAACAAAACAAAACAAAACAAAAAGCAATTTTTGGTTGAAGAAATTATAGCCAAGATTTTTTTTTTCCCTTTTTTCCTTTTCTTTTTTTGGTCAATCTGGTGATGCCCAGGAGCTTACTCCTAGTTCTGCATTACTCCTGGCAGTGTTTGGGGGGAACATATGGGATACCAGGGATTGAACCCGGGCCAGCTGTATGCAAGGCAGATGCGCTCTCCGCTGTACTATGGTTCTGGCCCCTATAGTCACGAATCTTCTCACCTGGAGGGAAAAAGAAGCAGACTGGGGGTGGGGGGGAGGGTGGGGAGGAACAGTTGAGAAACTAGGGACACCGGTAAAGGGACTGGTATTGAAAAACTGCACACCTGTAACTTTGTAATTCACGGTGATTTCAGTAATTTAAATATAAAAAAAAGAATTTTCTCACTTGAGGATGGATTCATATACCTAGATCAAGAACTTCAAAGAGTTGAGCTGGAGTGATTGTACAGTGGGTAAATTTGCCTTGCACGCAGCTAACCTGGGTTTAATCCCTGGTCTCCCATATGGTCCCCTGAGCCCACCAGGAGTGATCCCTGAGCTTTGCTGAGTATGGCACAAAAACAAAAGGAAAAAAAGAAAAGCTCAAAAAGTTTCAACAGAATATGCCCAATCAGAAGAACGAGACACTGCAATTAGAATAGCAAAAGCTAAAAAAAAAAAAAAAAAAAAAAAAAAAGAAAGAAAGAAAAGAAACAGAATCCTGAAAGAAACAAGAACAAAGCAAAAACTTAGAGGGGACTCCTGATAAGACCTACAGCAGATTTATCAAATGAAACCTTGGAGGCTAAATGGAACTGTAAGATACCATCGACATACAGAATGAAACAGGGCAAGGTATATTGCTTGGCATGCCTTCAGAAAGGAAAAAGTCCCTCATGGAAATAAGACACCAACCGCTACAACATGTAGAAAGGAGGAGAGTAACAATAGGGTCTCTTACGAGGATCCAGAGATAAAGGCTTCATGGCACTCTCAAGACAAATACACGTGGGCTAGAGTGACAGCACTTGCCTTGCACATATCTAACACCTCCAGGAATGACTATCTTTTGTTTTTGTGTCACACCTAGCAGGTTTGGGGGACCACTGGGTTGCTGGGGAATGAGCCTGGGTTGGCCCCATGCAAGACAAGCATCCTACCCGCTGAATAATCACTCTGCCCCCTATCCCCCGCCCCCCGAGTGACCCTTGAACACAGAGCCAGGAGTAACCTCTCAGTTCCACTGAGTCTGACCAACCTTCTCCCCTCCCCCACAAAAAGAGGTGCATGTAACCTGATAAATACAGAAATGGCTAAAGGACCAGGAAAAAAAATAAATGGCCAAAGAAACTTTATAAATATCCAGAATTCATATAGAAAAATGGCCATAAATTCCTTTATTTCAGTAATTTACTAATTGTCAATGGCAGGAATTCACCAACCAAAGAGCATAGAACAGCATGGGAAATAAAACCCTCTGTTTCCTTAACAATTGAGTCACACTTGAACTCTCATGATAAATAATGTCTCAAAGTGAAAAGTAAGAATACAATCACATAGATAATATGGTAAACTAAAAGAAGTAGGAACGGTCATAATTTTATGAGACCAAACAGCATTTAAATGAAAGAATGAAATAAGAAAGAGATGTTGTGTGATTACACATAAAAAAGTACTCATTAACATAAATGAAAGAAGTATAAAAATACGTAACAGAACTAAGGCCTAAGATATCAGTAACACAATAGTAGTAGAACTTAACACCTCCTCTAACTATTGGACAGATCAGCCAGACCACACGCCTCCTGCCCCCCAAAAGAACAAAGCCCTTAAAAAGAAGAAACAGAAAAGCTGAGCTTAACAGACACGTATAGGGCTCTCCATCCCACAAAAACCACACACACATTCTACTCCAATGCACAGGACACTCCCCAGGATAGGCGGGCCTTGTACTAGATACAAAACGAGTATCCATAAAATCATAAAGATGAAAATCGTATGAAGTGTCTTTTCATACCACATGCCATGAGGGTAGAAACAGAACTGGGAAAAGCTCAAGAACTTCTCTGAGCACTGCAGGAGGTGACCCAAGAACTAAAACCAAAACTAATAAAACTAATTCTTCTCTCCCTCTCTCTCTCTCTGAATTTGGAAATTAAACAATACATTATTGAACCAGTGGGGCAAAATGGAAATCGAGGAATAAAAAGGCACCTGGAGATCTTTTTCCCTCAGAAGAAATTTATGTTCTCTTGAACATGTACTTCTCTCTCTCTCCCTCACATTTCTCTAAATTTCGTTCAATAAAAACAATCTCGGTGCCAGTGTGACAGTACAATGGGTAGTCCACCTGTCTTACAAGCAGCTCACTCAGGTTCAATCAAATTAAACACCAGGTAAGGCTATAAATACAACTGACATATATAGGAATGGTTATTGGCCTTTGCTTTAACACAAACAGAAGAAATATTTTGTTACATCAAAACCAAGACCTGGGCCCAAGTCTAAGAACAGTCTGTTTTGTCTTAATAGTATCATTGATAATATTCTAGACTTAGTGCCAAACCTGAAAAAGTATCACTTTTTCTAAGGACTTTCATGTACTTAAAATCAGTTTCTTTAAAAAAATACTTTTTTTAAAAATCAAGGCTCTGTGATCTACAAAGTTATTCGTAGTTGAGTTTTAAGTGTACAATATTCAATAGCACTCCTATCATCAGTGTACAAGCTTTTTTAAATAAAAAAAATTTTTTTGGAGGGGGACTTGAGCCATACTCAGTGATGGTGGCGCTCAGGGTTTACTCCTGGCTGTGTGTTCAGGGGACCATGTCAACCGGGAATCAAACCTAGGTCTGCTGCTAGAGAGGCAAGTGTCTTTCTTGCTGCAGAGTCTCTTAGGCCCCAACAATTTTTTTGGAGGGGGAAGAGGGGTTCTACCTGGCAGTGCTCAGGGCTTACTCCTGGCAGGCAGGAGACCACATGGGTGCAAGGAACTGAACCTGGGTCAGCTGTGTGCAAGGCAACAGAACCTCCCACCTACTGTACTATCACTCCAGTCCCCTTAGTCAACTTTTTAGATGTTTCAACTTAAAACTTAATTTACAATACTGTCCAAGGTAGGGTTTCGAGTATAAAACATTTCAGAGGTTTTGATGAAACAAACAAAACCCCCCAAACAAACAAAAAAACCTCTTTGGTTTCTCTGGGTTCCTACTGTCCCTGGTTCCTACTGGAGATACGATCAGTTTGGCAGTTTAAGTGTAGGGGGTGGGTGGCCAAGGGCGCTCATCCTGAAAAACGAATCATTTTGCACCCTCCTCCCCTCCCCACCCCTCTCCTCGAGTAAAAACCGCAACATACTCGTCAGTAGCCTACTTTCCCCTTTCACTGATCTTTCCTCGCGTCAGGCTCATATCCCGGTTGGGTGGGAAAGAGACACTTTCAGGGCTTGTCCCAACTCTTGTTCCTCCATCCTTCTTACTCTCCCCTCCCTGCCTAGCCCTTGCAGTCTCTCATTTTGGCTGTTTTGACCAGTGCTGCAATGAACACAGAAATGCAATAGTCTTTTCTGAGATTTAAGGCCCTAGAGGTAGATGCCAAGAACTAGAATTCCAGGGTGCAATTCTCAGTTTCTTCCAGAAGTTTCCATATTGTTTTCTGAAAGACTCGGACCAGTCGGCATTTCCACCAGCAGTGGATTAAGGCCCGGTTTCCCCCACCCCCATGCCAACAGTTTGTTCTTGTTCCTTGTGATGTGTGCCAGTTTCACTGATGTGAATACAAAGTCTAATTGTTTTAATTTGTGTTTCCCTGATGAACAAAGTACATAGAGCCTGCTTTCATTCGCCTGTTGGCCTCGTCTTCTTTGAGGAAGTTTCTGTTTATCTCTTCTCCCCATTTTTTCATGGGATTGAATGTTTTTTCCTAGATGAGTTCTACCTGCTTGATATATCTTGGATAGTAACTCTTTATCAGCTGAGTGGTATATAAATATTTTCTCCCAATCTATGGGGTATCATTGTTTTCAAAATCAGTTTTGTAAATGTCATTATAATTTGAATGACATAGCAAAGATGAGAATAAGAGAATCAAAAGACCAAGAATGATACCGTTAAAATTTCTCCTTTCAAAGAAATGCAAAGATTGGGTCCAGATGAATACAGCTGAAGTTAGAACATAGGCTGCAAGGCATTAAACAGAAACTGCTAGAAACAGCTTAGAGAGAGAGAGTCTAGTCAGAGTTGCCTTTGGCCACATGCATAGCTCCAGACTATGTGGAAAGTCCACATACCTTCCACTGCTTTGACTTTTTCCTCCAGCTCTCGTTTCCTCTCCTCCTTCAGCATCTGTTCCTGTTCCTTCTTTTGCACAGCTAGAAGAATCTGACGTTCTTCCTCCTCCTCTTTGCGTTTCTGTTTTTCTATTCTGGTAAGCACAGGGGTCTCCTATGAGGAGTTGAGTGGACAGTCAATGTACAATAATGCAAGTTTACAAAAACTAGATTTATTATAGTGTAAGCAACATGGATAATGTTTATGGTACTGAAGTATAAAATTACTACACCCTATCACCTATTTGGTACCAAAGTACCAAATAACCTCCACAAATGTCCCTTTGTTACTTTTGGTTCATCTTTTCATTCCCATACCTCCGGTCCTCCACTGCTTGGTAAACTGAGTTTATAAATCCAAGACCAGTGTTTGTCATTATTTAATACTATTTATTTCTTTGTTTTGGCATGATAGTGTTTTGCGGTGTTTTTTTTTTGGGGGTGGGGGGGCTAGAGTTAAGATCTGAGGCTATCTGAGTGATAGCACAGTGAATTGGATCTTGCATGCAGCTGACCAGTTTCAATCTCCAGCATCCCATATAGCCCCCCAAGCATTGCCAGGAGTGATTTCGGAGTAACCCCTAAGCATTGCTGGGTGTGACCCCAAAAGTTATAGACACACACACACACACACACACACACACACACACACACACAAATTAGAGGTAAGATCTGATACTTTAATTTCAATATTTAAAACATTATTATTTTTTGCTTTTTGGGTGACACCCAGCGATGCTCAGGGGTTATCCCTGGCTCTGCACTCAGGAATTACTCCTAGCAGCGTTTGAGGAACCATATGGGATGCCGGAAATTGAACCTGGGTCGGCCGCATGACAGGCAAATGCCCTACCCATTGTACTATAGCTCCGGCCCCCAAAAATGTATTAATTTTTTGAAAAGCAAGTTGACTTTATAATTTATATAATATGTGGATATATAAATACCTAACACATCTATACCAATAGCAAATCTGCATTTTAAAATTAATACCACATGAACATTCTAACCTCAATCAGTTCCATAAATTGTGACCTTTGGAAGATATTCTTATGAAAAATATATTTAACCAGAGAACAGAAATGGAGGCAGGTCAGAGATACTATATGTAGATTCAATATTTAATACACGTGAAATCTTAGGTTTCGGCTGCTGGAGCCCTGGTCAGGGCGGGGAGGGAAACTCAACCCGCTCCCCTCCAGGGGTCCCCCGGCGAGGACAGCCAGGTGCGGGGGCAGGAGACTGTGCACACGCATGAAGGTACTGGCAGAGGAACAAAGGCATGCGGGTCCCGGGGCTGAGATCTCCAAGCCTGCTCGGATCGGGGCTGAGCATCCTCCACCCAGATCCTCCATCTTCCAGTAGGCAGGGGTCACACCCACCAACTGACCCCCTGGCGCCGTGTAATCCCATCAACGGCCAAGACCCAGAGACTATAAAACCCAGCTCTTGGAAGCACGCGACATCTTATCGCATTCCTACTTTGGACAAACTGGCAGGCTACCGAATGTAGCCTGCCCACATGGCGAGTCTGGCAAACTCCCTGTGGCGTACCCAATATGCCAAATACCAGTAACAATGATGGGTCTCATTCTCTTAACCCTGAAAGAGCCTTGAATTTGGCACTTTTTAAAAAAATCTCAGGGCTAAGATGAAGGAGACATTACTGGGGCCTGCTCGAGGCAATAGACGAACAACAGGATGGTCATGATCGAAATCTTAGAATCACAGTCTTTCCAAGAACCACGATCTTCATAAAGCACAGGACTTTGAAACCTTTACTTACTTGTATGCAAATGTCTCAACGCAGGCTTTACACATGCAACCGCTAAGCAACAACCCACCCCAATTTTAAATGTTTAAACTTTCATACTTTATCTTTTCAAATTTAATTATTGTGGCCACCAAAACCTGCAGTGCTCAGGGGCTACGAGAGCTTGTTGGGGGCCTCCCACTGGTGCCAGAGCCTGAACCAAGGGACACATATGCAAGGCATGAGCGTTACTACTTGAGCCATACTCCAGGTACCCTTGAATTTTGGGGGTGTTATATCTGGTGGTGCTTGGGAGATACTATGCAGTGCCCGCATTCTCTCCAGTCCTTACTCGTCTATCTTTAAATCTGGCTTTAGCCAGCTGTGGTCAAAGGACCATACTCAGTGCTGAGGATCAAACGGCACCAGGACGGCCACCTGCAAGGCAAGTCTCTTGCCTGCTGTACTTCCTTATCACTCCTGCACTCCCCCAAGAGGACCTAAGAATCTTTATTTATGAAGATAAATTTTAAGGGACTGGAGAGGAGTAGAGTCTATCATTCGGCCAATCTGGGTTTGAACCCTAACACTCCCATACCGCCCGGGAGCTCTGCCAGAGTGATCCCTGAGCACAGAGTCAGGAGTAAGCCCTGAGCTGCAGGGTATGGCTGAAAAACCAAACAAGGAAAAAAAATATCCCCCAAAACAAAACAAAACAAAAAAAATCCAAAATCTTCTATTTCTGCATTCCATGAGTACCCTTTCTGACTCCATATACCATGGTCCATAGCTTTAATTTTTTGGTGGTGACGTGTGTGTGAGAGGGGAGGAAGAAAGGGAGGGGGAGAGGGAAAGGAGGAGTGGGGAGAGGGGAAGAGGGGGAGGGAGGGACAGGGGGTGGGGGAAGAGAGAGAGAGAGAGAGAGAGAGAGAGAGAGAGAGAGAGAGAGAGGGAGGAGAGAGATTAATTCAGGTTCATACTTATTCCAACTCACTGGCAACACCTCCAGTGAGCTGAGAAGTCATGATGGAAGTACTCATTAGGTTATAATTAAGTAGGGAAAGGTATGGGCTAGATCAGAAGAACTGGTTCAATCCCTGGCACCACTAGGAATGACCCTAAGTACCCTCCATCAGGGAGGTAGTACTTGTTTTAGGATGCATTCAAAGTATGGATCTGACCTGTTTTTAATCTCCAGTCCCTCTATTCATAGGTCCTATTTATAAGCAGATGGGAAGTGACAGGGAGCTTAGAACTGGAAGTATTTCCAAACACTATTTCATTATTCTTTTTTTTTTTTTTTTTTTGCCTTTTGGGTCACACCTGGTGCTGTACAGGGGTTATCCCTGGCTCATGCACTTAGGAATTACTCCTGGCAATGCTCAGGGGACGATATGGGATGCTGAGACTCGAACTCGGGTTGGCTGCATGCAAGGCAAACACCCTACCCACTGTGCTATCATTTCAGCCCCTATGTGATTTTTCTTAGAAGCACTTATTCAAATATCAAAAGGCTACGGTGAGATCTGTAAAAAAATTATAGGTTCATACTTTGATGGTAGTGAATATGTTTATGACTGCTGCTAAATCAGAGTTTCTACATTAATTAAATACATGTAAAAATCATTCTAGTTAAAGTAATGTGCTTATTGGGGCTGGAGAAAGTATAGAGTGAGTAGAGTGCTTGCTTTGCACGTGGCCAACCCTGTGCAAGAATTCGATCCCTGGCCCCCCCTAAGGTTTCCTAAGCCCTGTGAGGAGTGACCCCTGAGTGCAGAGCCAGGAGTAAGCCCTAAGCACTGCTTAGTGTGGTCCCCAAACAAAAACAAGTAATATACTTACAACCGTTTTGACTTTATGGCCTTTGTGGACAAGTTGTCTTACCTCATCACGACCGAAGTGCCTGATACCTCTGCCCAAATCCCTGAATGACAGAAACCTACTTACTCGCATCTGGTACTGTTTGTGTTCCACTAACTATATATAGCTTGTTATCAATTGATATTATTTATTCCTTTGTTTTTTGTTTCCTGTATACTATGGATGGATGAGATGAGTTCATCAGTTCCTTTCTCCCTCTGGCTAATTTTGCTCAGTATGACATCTTTATAGCTGTGTAGTATTCCCTCACGTATATACACTATAACTCCTTTATCTGTCATTAGACATTTAGGTAGTTTCCACACTCTACTAAGTACTGCAATGAACACAGGTTTGCATGTATCTCTTTGAATTAGTGTTTTGCATTTTGGCAGGAGAACCCAAGTAGAATTTCTGGGTCATTAGTAAGCTCAAAGTTATTTTCTTGAAACATCTCCAAATTGGTTTGTCAAGGCTGAATTAGAAAACATTTCCACCACAGAGTTCTTTTTTTACATAGCTACCAATACTGGTTTGTTTCCAGTATTTCTGAAGGGAGTGAGTAGCACACTGCTCACTACTGTTTTCATTTGTATTTCCCTGATTATAAGTGCAATATGCTTACTGGCATATGCATGACCTCTCCACAGAAATGTCTATTCATATCATCACCCCATTTTCTTAATGGGTCACTGGTTTCACTGTTGCTGAGCTTTGTGAATTTTTTTAAGGCACTGCGACTTGCAATACAGTTAATGATAAGATTTAAAGCATATAATGGAACCAACACCACACTTTCCACCACAGTACCCCCCAACTCAGTAAGCTCGGTACTGAGAAAGTTTTTAGGATTTGGTGCTGTGACCATCTGTTATTCCCTTACTATGTGTCTCCAGAATCTGCCTTAGATACTTTGGACGTTAATCCTTCAGAAGATGTATTGTATGCATACATCTCCCATTCAATGGTGCGTCTTCAGTTTTAGTTTGAGTTTCTTTTGTATGTAGATAGTTTTAAATTTGCAGTCCCATTTGTTTATTTTGTTTTGCTACCTTTGCCAGTGGGATCAAATCACTGAAGGCAAGCTGAGGTCCATATTCTGGAGTTAGTCCTGTATTTTTTCTTCAGTGTATTTTATGGATACCGGTATGATTGAGATCTTTAATCCACTTTGAACTTATTTCTGTACATATTCAATATTCTATGTTTTGCCATGGAGTCATGCAGTTTCTCCAGCACAATTTCATGAAGAGACTCCCTTGCTGCTTTTCATGCCCACTTTGTCATGGGTAGCTATCCAAAGAGCTGAAGGTTTATTTCTGGATTCTCAGTTCTGACGATCTGGATTCACTGATCTGACGGTCTAATCCTTACAGTACGATTATAGTATTATAAAATACATACATTGCTGTGCTCACAAACTGTTGGCTATAGTGCACTGGAGATCGCATACTTTGTTGCAGGGATCTCTAATACCAGAACTGCTGGCATGGTTGTCAGGC